TTGAAAATGACAGTATGTGTGCATTATTACTAGTGTTCTTTCTAAAAAAAAATCACCAGATGAATTCCAGAGTCCACTTACTAACACCCAATTTCAGAATACTGTTTGCCCTTAGGCCTGACCCTGGCAGCAAGGAGCTTGTAGACTAGACCATACGTACACTCCTAGTATGCATCCACATCACACTAAGAAACTGGCCAGTGTGCTCAGAAGAGCAGCTAATGTAGGTGAAAATAAACTGGTCTGGGAACTTCCTTTAAATGTTCTTAGCAAAGTCATGCTGGTAAGAGCTACAGTTAAGCAAGAGCTTTCTCCTGACCAGCCATTATATCCAAAGCTCCTGAAAGTAACTTCCTCAAGTAATAACCCTTTACCAACTCTTTGTGAGCGCACAATGCCCATTTTGCACACAGAAACCGAGGCTTAGATGGTTAGGAGGCTTGTCCATGGCCATCCGGCTGGCAGGATGTGCACAGAAGTGGCTCGCCCTTGGAGCCTTCGAAGGCATTAGGTTAAGTAACTTCTTCCCCTTTGGTTTTATTTTTATCCTCTAAAATATCGGGCCCAAACTTCCAAACAACTCTGTGGCTACACGAGGCTGGCTGGTCTAGGGAGAAGACACAACCACCTAACTGGCAGCAGTGACAGGGTGGGAGGGGTATGTGCCTGCAGTGGGCTGCTCGGTCTGCACCCCGCCATCACTTCCCCATGCATCTCCACCACAAGGTTCACTTAATGTGTGATGGTCAGCTCCCCTGAGGCCATGTGATCGCCACTACGTAAAACCCCAACATGCAGTAGTTCCAGAAAAGTTCATGCCTATACAACATGGAATAAGAAGGGTCGTTTCTTTGTGCTTTTGTTTGTTTTGCAGGGGCGGGGATCAAACCCAGGGCCTTGGCACACTGGGAAAGTGCTCTACCAGTAAGATACAACAGCAGCCCATGTAGAAGAAGGCTTGGAGGGAGAAAGCTTCTTTTTCTGTCTTGCTAGGAAAAAGCTGGGGCCACAGCTATGGGGATCTGGTTCCAAGCGCACTGGAAAGCACAGCACAAGGGGGTGGAGACAGGATTCTCTAGGCAGAAACACATCAGTTATACACGCTGGGGGAATAAATGTGCCCTAGGCACTGATGAAGAAAAGGCCACACGGTTTTGAGACGGTGCATGCTGATATGAATTTACTGCCTCATAATATTTTCCTTACTTTTTATTTTCTTGCCAAGATTGGAAAATAGGACTTTCTGTGAGTCACATCCACTCCCCTGGGAGAGATGTGCTGCTGAGCTCCTGCCCCCTGGCCAGCCCACTGCGCTCCCACCCGTGTGCTGCCCCACGCGCCTGCCCCAGTTTCCCCAGTCCCGGTGAACTCCGGAGTGCACCATCCACAGCAACCACATCCTGAAATGTTCTTATCAAGCCACTTCCTCCCAAGCCCTAAGGGCTCTTGGCTGATGTTGCTAATTAATATTTTTGACATTCCAGTGAAATAACAGAGCAGATATTTTTCTTCAAAGGAAAACAAACAAACAACAAAAAAAGAAAGCACTAGGACACAGAAGCACAATACGTGACCAGATATCCATGCCACTAAAATCAGAATGTTATGCACAACGAAACCCACTTTCCAGACTCCTGTGGGGGCAGCGAGCACCCCGCCATTTCTCCACCCACTGCAGCTCCTAGCATGGGGGACTTATATATAGTAGGTGCTCAGAAGATGCTGAGTGGGTGGATCAAGGAATCAAGCCATGTTTCAAGAGACCAAGTAGTACTATCCTTGGTCCTAAGCTGCACTTCTTATCTTTTCTCAGAATCTCTTAATTCCTTTTCCAAATTCAGACAAGGACTCTTGGCCAGCTGCATTGCTGTCATCTGGGACCAAATTCACGCAGCGGGTACAGCCAAGGTACCCAGCAGCACTGGTGACACTCCAGCTCTCGCTTAGAGTGGAAGATTTGCAGAGTTCATTTTATTATTACATTTCAAAGACTGACTATAAATCAAAACTATCCTGTACGCTTTATATCAAATGTAATAAATTCAAAATTACAGACAAGTTTTTCAGTTATGGGGGAGTGACATTATTAAGGGATATTTAAGTTGTGCAAAGGATTATATGTTAGAAAGGACAGAAATATAGTATAACTTGAGACTGTTACAAAATGTGACTGTTTAGCATGTGTAATATATGCATATATGTATTATTTAATATAAAATCAACTCAAAATGAAATACATTCATCATCAAAAGCTAGTTATGGAGTGCCAGAGATACAGCTCAGCTGCACAGTGCCGGCCTGGCAAGTGTGAGGCTGTGATTCCCAGTACCAAAAAAACAAAAACAACAACAACAAAAAGCTAGTTATAGAAATGAATAAAAGAGTTACAGGTTGAGGGAAAATATTCGCAAAGTCTGACAAAGGACCTGTAACAAGAATATGTAAAGAACTGCTTCAAGTCTGTAACTCTGAAAAATTAACTCACTTAAAAAGAGACTGAAGATCACATTATAAACGGTAATAGAGAAATGGCCAATGAGCAAACAAAAAACATGTTCATCATTAATCAGGAAGAAATGCAAACTGACATCACAGTAAGAGTACTATAGTACTCATGCAACAGCTAAATTAAGACTGACAACATCAAATATTACCAAGGATTTGAAATAACTGGATGTTTCATGTTGCCTATGAAAGTATAAAATGGTATAACCATTGTGGGAAAAGTTCTGGAAGTATCTTAAAAACTAAACTCATCATTGTATTTGAAATATTCTTAGGCAAGGGGAAAAAAGAATCTACATTTGGAAAGGAAAAAATAATCTTGCACATAGAAAATGCTAAGGAACACCCCACACAACTGTAAGAGCTAATAAATGAGTTCAGCAAGGTTATAGGAATTCAGATGGCTAAAACAATCTTTAAAAAAATAAGAATAAAGTTAGGGAAAATACACACTTCACAGCTGCACTAAAGCTTCACTTTAAAACTGCAGTAATCAAAAAGTATGTACTGGCATAAGAACAGACATATAAACTAATGGAACAAAATGGAGAACCCAGAAATAAATCTTTATATTTATGACGGACTGATTTTTAGTAAAGGTGTCAAGGCAATTCAGGTGGAAAGAAGAGTATTTTTCACAAATGCTGGTAGGACAACTAGATATCCAAAGCAAAAGGATGAAACTGGATTCCCTACCTCACACTATATAAAAAATTAACTCAAAATGGACCATAATGCTAAATATAAAGGCTAAAACTATAAAGCTCTTGGAAGAAAACAAAGAACTAGATTAGGCCATGGTTCTTAGATATGACATCAAATGATATTAAATGAGGGAAACAAATTTAGAATGATGATTACAATGTGACAACTTTCAAATAAACCTTAAAAACATGTCAAACAAGGTGAATATTATTGAACACAAGCTTACAAAAAGTATCCAAATACATATCATATTGGTTACTTTTAGAAAAGAAAGGAAGGAGGCAAAGGACATAAAGGGCTTAAACAGTATCTGTATTATCCTGTCTCTAAAAAAAGTTCTCTAAAACAAAGAGGGGATAATGTTAATATATGATAGAAGTGGGTGGGAGTGTACACATGCACCTTTATGAATATTTGAAATACCTTACAACTTGGCAAATTACATTTTTAAAAGAGGGGGACCTCCTTATCATGAGCACTCATTACCAGAGCAGCATAAGGCAAAATGAAAGAAAGAAAGACTGATCTAAAGCTACGCTAGTCACCCCTCGCAAGAAGTAGTCTGGAAATTGCTTTGGAAATAAATTTCTGATATCAGCTCCTTTCTGTGTCATTGCTTTTATCCAAAACTGTCGTACAGAGTATGCACCTTCAAGATGTTTACTGGCATTTTCCACTTGTCTGTGTTCTATACAAGTAGTTGTGGCTGATGTTTATTTCTCTGTCTCTGTCTCTGTCTCTCTGTCTCTCTCTTTCTCTGTTCCTAGATTTGCTTTCATCAAATTTTCCCAAGCTAAATCTCTTCCTTTCCCCCCTTTCTCTAGATTTGCTCTTCCTTTCCAAGTGTCCGTAAGCAATGTTTTCTCTTCCATTTGCTCCTAACCCAGTGTGCTTCCTCAGTTTGTCTTCACTTCACCTCTACACTGGCTGCTCCGTCCACATCTCGTGGGCATTTCATGTATCTAAGCACAGGACGGGCTTCTACGGTACTAGCAAAACATAGCTGTTGCAAGGATAAAACTCACTTATTTAGGCTAACAAGCTGATTGACATGCTGATGAGCTCTGTAAAGTTATTTCGACTACTACAAATCCCTTTGGCACGTGTTTCACTGATGGGGGCACAGGAAGCTGGACAGGTGCCAGGAGGACACAGTTGCTGTCGTTGTTGGGATCAGCTCATCCCACAGGTAGCTGAGTCTTCTGTCGTGGGACCCTGGTTCCCTCTGGGTCACAGGGCCCAGAAGGCTGCCTGGCTTAGGTCACATGGGACATGAAAAGGGAGCCTTTTATGGTTCCCAACTTCCAAAAAATTACAGCCCTTTCCACTGCCAGCCCATGTTCTAGGCCCTTGGTGCTGTTTTGTGTAACTCACAGATCCCTCTGAGAAAGGCTCTGTCATCTACACTCCGCAAACAGAGCACTGGGTTGCAGGAGTGGAACCGTACGTGCAAGCTCACCCAGCCAATGACGCACGCCCAGCCACACCACTTCCCCTTCCTGGCTGTGGCAGGATGTACGACAGGCTAGTTTTTTTTGGTGGAGGAACTGTTCTTCCTCACAATCCACTGTACAACTTACTGATTAGACCTGCACTCAAAATGCATCGATATTTAAGTCTTCAAGAAAAAAAACATAAGTTCCCAAATACAATGCAGATAAAAGCAAACATTCACAAACACATGTGCATATGCACTATGTGTGGAGGGGTGTGGATGGCTATCTGCTGTCACAGCGTCCCCTCACACAGTGCTCTTGTGACACGTGCCCTTACTGCAGAATGAGGCATACCTGAATCGGGTCCTGCGTCAGTCTCATAGGCCCAATGCGCACCTCTGCAGAAGACACCTGCTGAATAGAGGACAGTACGTGAGAGATGTCAAGTCATAAACCACACAAACTGGAAAATCCTGGCCTGGACTGGGCTGAGCCCCGGACATCTTCAGAAAGCCCAGAGAGTCTCGGTTCTGCCTCCCTGACCACCGTGCAAGGAAGGCGAAACCTCAGCCACCCTCTGGGGCCTAGGAGCCTCCCCGCCACACCCATAGTGTGTCGCCCCAGGCTGGGCTAAACCCTGGACATCTTTGGGAAGCCCCATGAGTCTGGACTCTGCCTCCCTGACCAGCATGCAAGGCAGGCGAAATCTCGGGTACCCTCTGGGGCCTCGGTGGCTCCACACCCATAGTGTGTCAGCCTGGGCTGGGCTGAGCCTCAGACATCTCCAGGAATTCCAGTGTGTCTGGGCTCTGCCTCCCTGACCAGTATGCAAGGCAGGCGAAACCTCGGGCACCCTCTGGGGCCTCAGTGGCTACCCGCCACACCCATAGTGTATCTGCCTGGGCGGGGCTGAGCCCTGGACATCTTCAGGGAGCCCAGAGAGTCTGGGCTCTACCTCCCTGACCACTGTGCAAGGAAGGCGAAGCCTTGGGCACCCTCTGGGGCCTTGGTGGCTACCCGTCACACAGTGTGTGAACCCCAGACATCTTCAGGAAGCCCACTGAGTCACAGCTTTGCATCCCTGACCAGCATGCAAGGCAGGTGAAACCTCGGGCACCCTCTGGGGCCTAGGAGGCTCCCTGCCACACCCATAGTGTGTCTGCGGGGGCTGGGTGGAACGTCAGACACCTTTAGGAACCCGGTGAGCTACTCTGGGGCCTCCCCCACTAGGGTGTGAGGCACGTGGATCCCTGGACAACTTCTGGGGCCTTGGTGGTCACTGCCAGAACAACTCACACCCCCCTGGTAGCTCAGTTGAAACCTGAACATATAAGCAGCCTCGAGGAGTTCACCCTCACCCCTCTCCTTCCAGTGTGGAAAGCAGACTCTGTCCTGGGCAATATCTGAAACCTCAATAAACTAGATCTGCATCCCCCCCCCCCCGACTCTTGTGGAAGCTGGGCCAAACCCCAGACAGTCTCAGGAACGCAGGTGAGCCTCCCCCACCCTTCCCACACACTCCTGGGAGCCAATTGAATGCAAGAAAGGTCGGGAGCATCTGGGACCCCACCTTGCCACCACTCACCAGCACAGGAGCTACACTGAGCACTGGGGATCTTCAGACTCTAGCCCTGCCACTCACACACAATCAGGACAGTGAGACTGCACTACAGGGAGTCTCTGGTTCTTCAAAAATGACAAAACACAGGAGCAAAATGCAATCCCAGACCTCCACACCACCAAGAACAAGTCCAGGAGGCATCAACACAGAAGAGCCTGGAAGTCATACACCTGAAATTTCTGAAATGATAGCAATTAAAGTAAAGGAACACCTCCATCAGGCCACAGAAGACATCAGATCAGAAATAATGTCTCAGGTGAGAAAAGACAATAATGATGAAAGAAATGTTCAGCATATCCAAAGATGACATAGACAAGAAAATAGAAGAGCATAGATAACTCAATGAAACCTTCAGAGAACAATATAAAAAAGAACTAGAAGATATGAAACAGATGCAAACAGATATCCAGGAACTTAAAAATTCCATTGAAAACTTGCAAAACCACCTGAATGAAGCTGAAGATAGACTTTCAGACCTTGAAGACAGCATAGCCACCAATGAACGTGAAAGGAGGGATCTCTTAAAAACAGCAAGGAACCAGGAAATAGCAATTCAACAACTGCAAGACAAGGCAAACAGAAACAATGTCAGATTAATAGGTATTAATGAAACAGCAGGTGTCAACACAAATGACATAAAAAAGACTATTTGCAGAAATAATAGCAGAAAATTTCCCAGGCATGGTAAAAGAATCAGACATCCACATAAGTGAAGCATATAGAACTCCAGTTAATCATAACCAAAATAAATCCACCCCCAGACATATAGTGACCAAGATCCCAGAAATTCAACAAAAGCTCAGAATATTAAAAGTTGTTAGAGAAAAGAAACAGATCACCTATAAAGGAAAGTCTATCAGAATCATGGCAGACTTCTCAACACAAACCATCAAGGCAAGAAGATCTTGGAGTGAAGTATTTCAGATACTGAAAGAAAACAATTTCCAACCCAAATTGATGTACCCTGTAAAGCTATACTTAATGGAGAAATAAAATATTTTCATGATAAAGAACTGAAGAAATTCATGAGTGCCAAACCAATCCTACAAAGAGTACTAAAAGATATACTAGAAAGAGATAAAACAGATTGCAACTTCAAGAACAACAACAAAAAGGAACCAACAAGATGAGCAAGCAATTAAATAGAGGGAAAAAGGAGGATCCAACAGCAAGAAAATAGCATGACAAAGATAAACCAGTACATATCAGTTATAACCACCAATATAAATGGTCTCAATGTGCCAACCAAAAGAAGCAGACTTGCAGAGTGGATTAGGAAACAAAACCCAACTATATGCTGTATACAAGAAACACATTTAACTCAAAAGGAAATTCGAAGACTGAAAATTAAAGGATGGAAAACAATACTCCATGCGACAGGAACCCAGAAAAAAAGTGGGTATAGCTATTCTGTTTGCAGACAACGTGAACTTCAAATCAAGAACCATCAAAAGAGAAAAAGAAGGTCACTACATACTTGTGAAGGGGAAGGTTGAAGAGGAAGAAATAACAATTGTAAACATCTATGCACCAAATATAGGAGCACCCACCTATATAAGACAAAGTCTAACAGACATGAAAAACGAAATAAGTAGCAACACAATCATAACAAGGGACTTTAACACACCATTGTCACAAAAAGATAGATCAACTAGACAAAAAATTGGGAGCTTAACTTAACCAAACATGTGAACATATGGGCTTAGTAGACCTTCATAGAGTGTTCCACCCAACAGCATCAGAATACACATTCTTCTCAGGTGCACGTGGAATGTTCTCTAAAATAGACCATATACTAGTACATAGAACATGTTTAAGTAAATGCAAAGGAATTGAAATTATCCCATGTATACTATCAGACCATAGTGCAATGAAATTGGAAATTAATGACAAAAGAAAACACAAAAACTCCATAAACAGTTGGAAATTAAATAACATCCTCCTGAACAACCAATGGGTCACAGATGAAATCAAAGTAGAGATTAAACACTATTTACAATTAAACAAAAATGGAGATACAACCTACAGGAACCTGTGGGATGCAATGAAAGCAGTCCTCAGAGGGAAATTTATAGTGGTGAACTTCCACCTTAGGAAAACAGAATAAGCACAAATAAACAATCTTATGCTGCACTTCAAAGTTACTAGAAAAAGAAGAGCAAGTCAAACCCAGAGCCCAAAGAAGGCAGGAAATTATAAAGTTCAGAGCAGAAATTAACGCAACGGAGACTAAAAAAAAAAAAATACAAAGAATTAATGAATCGAAGAGTTGGTTCTTTGAAACAATAAATAAAATAGATAAACCCCTAGCCAACCTTATCAAAAAAGGAAAGAAAAAACTGAAATACATGCAATAAGGAATGAAAGGGGTGAAATCACTAAGATCCTAAAGAAATTCAAATCATCAATACCTGCTTTGAAAATCTTTACTCTCATAGGATGGAAGACACAGAGGAAATGGACAGATTTCTAGATACATACGAATTACCAAAGCTGAATGAAGAAGATATAAAACTCCTGAATAACTCAAGATCAGCCAGTGAAGTTGAGAATGTAATTAAAAACCTGCCAATGAAGAAAGGCCGGCTCCTGATGGATTCACAGCCAAATTCTACAAGCAATTTAGGGAAGATTTAACACCAATTCTTCTCAAACTCTTTAATGAAATTGAAAGGGAAGGAATTCTCCCCAACTCATTCCTGGAGGAAAGTATTATCCTGATACCAAAACCAGAGAAAGACCCAACCAAGAAAGAGAACTACAGACCAATCTCCCTAATGAACATAGATTCAAAAATTCTCAATAAAATACCAGCAAACAGAATACAACAAGTCATCAAGAAGATTATGCACCATGACCAAGTGGGATTCATACCAGGAATGCAGGGATGGTTCAATATACACAAATCAGTCAATGTAATAGAACCAAGGACAAAAATCACATAATCATCTCCACTGATGCAGAAAAAGCCTTCAATAAAGTCCAACACTCATTCATGTTGAAAACCCTACAGAAAATAGGAATAGATGGCCTTTATGTCAAGCTGATCAAAGCCATCTATGATAAACCAACAGCTAACATCATACTAAATGGTCAAAAATTGAAAGCTTTCACTT